TTCTCCGAGCGGAACTCGAACAACTCCCAATTACCGAAGTTCGCGTAACAAAGCTTCGTGACAGACGTGCAATTCATTTAGTCGTAACATTCGATTAAACCACCCGAGGACATCTTGGCCCGGGATACGTCCAATTTCTAATGGGGCGCCGTGCAAATTTCATCGAGTATCGATTACCAAGTTACGTCTCGGGTCTCGTTGATTATTAATCCAGTCCCGTCGACGAGCAGCCATGAAAATTTCAGTAACAATCGTCTATTGTACGGCTCGTACGCTCACACGTGCGAGTCGTTCGAAATCGTAGGTCCATTAAGTCGCTCAAAGACGTTCCGAGAGTTCGTTTCGGTCGGATAAGTCAAGGTTCGCCTTCGCGAGAAACTTCCACCCTTCTAACGGATGCGACTTCCTCGAGCTATTCGTAAGAGCTGAACGGAATTTGTCGACCCACGGATGCGTTCCACTTTTCCACGACTCCTCGCGATCGTTTATTTTCCCCACTAGAGAAAGTTTCTTACCCCGCCCGCAATTAATTGCAATTTCTCTTACCAAACAACCGGCGACCGTTCCGTTTGTACAGAGAGGATATACGGCGTGAGAGAAAAGCAGATGTTACCGGGTAACATTATTTTCCTAGCGACCTATGGAAATTAGGAGAAGTATACGCGGGAATCGCAATGATCCATAGAGCCGACTACGTCACACAGGATCCGGGGTATAAATTTCTTTGTCGCGCGCAGTCTGGAATGCATGATCGTCGAACCCGATTCGAAGACAAATGATCCCGGCCCGCAAGGTCTCTGAAAGTCGCGCCGGACGATTTGTCAGGGCGAACAGCGTTGTTCCCCGATCGAAAGAGCTCCCGCGCTCACCGACACGGCTACTAATTAAAAAGGTCCCCGCATTGTCGGTGCGGGTATTGTTCGGGCCAGATCGGCCGGTGAAAGCTGCTTTGTTCTTGACTGATGGATTTGGAGCGGAAAGCCTCGCGACGCGAAGCTTACGTCGCGGTTCCTTTGAATTCACCGCCGAGGAGCTTAATCAAATTTCTTACCGCCTTCGAGGAATCTTTCCCTGGAACCTTACATCGGACAGAGAGTCGATGAAAATTTCAACCATCGAAAAAGCAGTATTTTAAGGATGTATTGGCTATACAGTCAATCCCAAACGTTTATGC